AGATCGTTGAGGAGAGTTGATAACTGTCAGCTTTGTCCTATGAATAGTGTTGAATGTGTCAATGTCATCAACAACTTCCAAATGAAAAAGGTCGATCAACTTCTTCTTATAATGACACCTCAGTATGCTTTCTAGTATAAACATCCCCAATTTCAAGATAGGATAATTATTATTAACGATCGGATCGAATTTGAGCAGATCTGATCCATATATCCGGTCCATTTACGGTCCCAACTTCAATGCAAAGATTTCACAATCACCCAAGTCGATTTCACGGAAGAGGTTGGGCAACGTACTGTCAACAGATGTTCTCTTCTTTGCCTCAATCGTGTACGGAGAAACAATGTATTGTGACAGCAATCTAGTCCTCTTGCTAACCATTTATTCTGGCACGTCAATAATATGTTTCGTACATGGTGTCATCCAATTATTTCATAAATAGAAAAATATTTACAATTATTTCGTCCCCACCATCGGCACCTCTTCCATCTCCACTGACATTCATAACGATTCTGATGAAACATCTGTGTACATCCCCACGCCTCCACCGCCACCCTCTCTGTCACCATCTCCGCTATTCTCTATCATTGTTTGAGACCCTTATCGCCTGCAGACCGTATCTCCTCAGATATGACTCTAACCCTCCTTTTTTATCAACTGTGTCAGCTCAGTGAGCAATTCAAGCTGACATATTAACATTTCACCGAGTTAATGACCATGCATGCATCGAGATTTCGAAATGACGTATAACTTAAATCACAAATGAATAATATGTACCCCAAGATCGTTGAGGAGAGTTGATAACTGTCAGCTTTGTCCTATGAATAGTGTTGAATGTGTCAATGTCATCAACAACTTCCAAATGAAAAAGGTCGATCAACTTCTTCTTATAATGACACCTCAGTATGCTTTCTAGTATAAACATCCCCAATTTCAATTGTTTATTTAATATTTAATTACATATTTAAACTATTTTTTTATTATTTATATTTATTTGTTATTTATGTTAATTAATTATTTTATTGCTTAATTAACATTTAAGTTACTTGTTTATTGAATTTATTTCAATTAGTTATTTATTATTTCAATTAATTATTTTAATTATTTTATTAATATTTAAAAAAATTTATCTCAATTAGTTATTTATTATTTGTTTAAATAAACAATATACATAAAAAAATAACATAATTTATTAAATATTTAAATAAACAAATAAAGTATAAAATCAATAATTATATATTAAACAAATAATATACACAAACAATTAAAGTAATTACTTAAATATTTAAATAAACAATTAAATTAAATATTAATTTATGAAATTTGTATATAACTTATTTAATATTTAATTATTTCTTTTAATTTTTTACTAACACTTATTTTGATCGTTTATTTTAATATTTTCATTGCTTATTTTAATTATTTTACTAACTCTTAATTTAATCATTTATTTTTAATTAATGTTTAAATACTTTTTTTTTTAATTCTTCATGCATATTGATTATTTAATATTTAAAAATTTATTTTAATTTCTTTGCAAAAATTTAATTTGATTGGTATTTTAATTTCCTTATTTAATTGCTTATTTATTATTTTACAAATGTTTAAATATTTATTAAAATTCTTTATGCATATTACTTATTTAATATTTAATTATTTCTTTAATTTTTTTACTATTGCTTAACATAAAATAAGTAATTAAAATAAATTAGCAAATAATAAATATTTAGATAATAATAAAACATTTATATTAAGCATTTCAAAGAAATAATTTTAAATACATAATATGCCTTAAAATTAAACAATTCAAATAATAATTAAATATTAGACAACACAATATAAGCAATTAAAATAAATAGCTTCAATAATTAAAGGAAATATATAAATAAGTAATAAATAAAAAAAATTTGTTTGGGCCTAGATAACGGTCGCCCCAGACGGCCCAGTCAACTGGGCCGTCTGGACGAGTCTGGGCCATCCTATCTGCTGTGCCAATCGTCTCCTTTGTGGAGATCGTCGGAAAACTCCTTTTCTGGCGATCTCCACTCCATTTTCCCTCTCCCAAATTATTACTCTTACCCAAAAATCATGCATTTTTCCAAAAATCAACACATATATCTAAAATCATTTTTTTTTTCCAAAAATCAACATAAAAACATTAAATATGGGTCGCCTATTTTCATTTTTTGTCGGTGCTACAGTACTTTTCCTATTTCCTTTCTATCTTCTCTCTTTTCTTTAAATGGTAAGAGTAAATTTGGATTTCTCTTGCCTTTAAATATTTTAAACATTTTTGCTTTCTTTTTTTTTTAATTGATCACAAGCTTCTTTGAAAAATTGGTCGAGTCAACCGGTTAATGGCCACTATTTCCTCGAATTATTTCCTCGAAGAAGATAAGCGAAATCCAAGTGCGGGATTGGATTTGGAAGCAAAAACGTCAAACAAATCAATCTTCAACTTCTTCAAATAATACAAAAGCAAATATTCACACAAGGAAGTCTTGTAAAGGTTGCCTTTATTACTCGTCCCATTTAAATGTCGATTCTCGAAATTCTCTTTGCGTTGGTCTTTCCTGTTCCCTTTCCAATTGTAACCCTAATTACTTTTTAATTTCTCTAATTTTTCCTGTTAAATGAATATATATGTTCCAAGATTGTCGTGATTGATTATTTATTATTTGGGGATTTTTCATTATTTCTTTGCTGAATTTTTTTATAGCGATGTTTATAATTGATTTACTTGGTTTTTCTTTAATGAATTTTTTCATTATATTGTATTTAATATCTGGAAAAATATTTTGCCTTGAGTGTTTGGGCAAGGATATTTAATTTTCAGAATTCTGAATTAAAAAAAAAAATGAGAGTTATGTGGAATTTTTTTTGTTTGTTTTGGAACAGTTAGGACTGAATTTCTTTTATGTAAGTTTTCAGATTGTCAGTATATCTATGAATGCTAGTTTACCAGCATTTTCTCCTCTTGCATATGGTTTTTACATTGAAAAAGAAAGTGTTCATGGTGAAAGAAAAGTCTCTTTTACCCCATTAGACATCGTATGCATGATCTTTATGTATCTTTTTTTATCTCCCACATCCATTTTACTGATATTGTCTATTATTATAGACACGGTATGCATGGTTTCTATTTCTTCTTGAGTCTCGATAAAGAAGTTATCTTGGATTTGCGTCTTTATACATGTGTCTTTGCCTGCCGCAGCTTAGGTTTGCTTTTAGAATTAAATAAGCTCTTTGCTAGTAGGTTTCCATTTTGCTGAGTACATTCATTTGTTTTGAAGAGATATAAGTCCCAAATAGAACATGGAGGCTAATAGTTCTTTCAATGCTCTCTGAGTTTTGTGGACTAGTGCCATTTTGTACTTGTTACTTGAGGCTTAGTATGGACATTCAGAACATAAGACGTGGGACTTAGCTTGGTATCAAGTTTAAAATGAATTGGATAAAAAATGAAGTCCTCAATATGGACGGTTGAATTACTCACTTCAAAATTATGAACTAAATTTGCTCGAAGGTTGCTTGAAACATTGACAGAGTGCAGCTTTATGAACGGATTTACCTAGTTACTATAAATTGACTTCTCTTGTTTACTTTTCGGTGCTACTGAATCTCAAGTGATCTGACGTACCCGGTTAATATATATGCGTATGCTTATTGATAAAAAGTTCATGTTGTATGTCACTGAAATAACAACAAATTTGGATAAAATCTTGTTGGAATGAAATTTTGTACAAGAGTTGGAAGAATAATCTTGATGAGTGCAATTAGGGATGAAGTTATTAGTAGAACATCATTATCATTCGTTTCTTATGATGAAGGAGATTTGTATCAGACAAAAGATTTTTCTTGTAGAAACTTTATTTGATTCCTGGTTTTTTGTTTTTTTCTTTCTTTTCACAGTTGTTATTATTTCAGAGAACTCATATATTCATATTCACAAAATGGTTTGATTACTCACTCTGGACTGATTGTGCTTAAAATTCTCAACACATTAAAAATAACTCTATTTTGTTTTGGACAGCCAACTAGTGGTCGAAGTCTGCCGAAGATACTTCGTCCCTTAATGCTTATGCTCAAGCCAATTGTTCAATTTCTTTTGCTGCTTTGGTATATTTGCATGAAGATACCGGCATGCAAATATACCGGCTCCTGATGTCTTTATAGTACAGGTGAGCTTCAAACATGTGCTCCTTCAGTCATTAGAAAAGTGACATCTAATGGGATCATAATTTTTTGTTATCTCATTGTCATATGATTGGCTTTAATTTTATGCTACTGCTAAATTTTGTGAAACTTTTTTATTAGGTTCAGACTCTCACACTCCCATTTTAGAGAACTCATCTATGTATGTATTGCTTCTTTCGACTGGAGTTGCAGTGAAATTTGCAAGTCAATAGAGAAGATCAAATTTGCGCAACCAGATTGTGAATGCAAAGTACAAGTTATGGAGCCACGGCATGTTTTGCACACAAATGACTCGAGAAATTCAAATGTGAACTATTGATTTTGTACAAACCCTTGATTCGATTTTGACTAAAATGGCGACAAAAATGTGTCGGGGCTTCACTCTACATTGCATCAGAATCGCCCATCAAGCAACCAAACCAAAACAATACAACAAAATAAAGCCGTATGAGTTCCAGTCGATTAATCTGCTTTCACATTTTAATTGTAAAGAAAGTTTTCACTATTTTGTTCATTCTGTATTATGTCCTCAAACTTTTTTATTTATCTTCAATTAATTAGCTTATTATCTCCGATAACAATTCTGTCCAAATATTTAGGTAGCAGACTAAAATGAGAAAGATTTTATCAAACGTTGTATTTGCTTTTCAGTTATATAAATATATGAGATGCAACTAATAAATATTCTGGACGGCAACATCATCAGAGACATTTGAAAATTAATATAACGTTGATGATAATTTTACAATACTCGTATCATTTTTTGAATGAAACAATTAGAGATTGACGAATGCATTTTACTCACGAGTTTATGCTATTTTTAACTTAATTGTAAACCAGATTTTGAGAGTCTTGAATGTTTTTAATGTGTTTGTTGGTATTGTTTTATAGGAATGTTGAGATGGTGAAAGATACGAAAAAGTTCATCAAATAAAGCTGTTGGCATTGATCGAAAAGAAATTGTAAATGAAGGGGCAAAAGAAGCAAAACAAAATGATTGGACGAGTGGCTCCTTGATGCCACAAAAGATGAAGAAATGGAGCCTTAGCGCCAGGCTCAAGGCACTCGACTCCAAGAGGAATAGAGTGGGGACATCGCGGTGCCACCCACAAAAACTGTGCCACGCCCATGGAATCTCCTAGGGTGCGTTTTGGCCCGTTTTAAAGTCCATAAAAATCATACTTTCTACTAACACAAGGAGGCAAGTATAAATACAATTTTTTCACACTTTTGAGAGGATTGCATATATTAGGAGGAAAGAAACACAGTTAGAGATTCAAATAAGCAATTCAAGGGAGGAAAACAATAAGCAATTCACTGTTTGAAGCATTGATTGGAAGAGGGAGAAAGTTTTAGTGCATGATTGAATTTTTATTCTACATCTATAATAAAAATTCGGTGATGTATTCTATGACGGTTTATTGTTTTTCTTCTTTCATTATGAGTAGCTAAAGTTTTTATTAGAGCGAATAATGTAATCTTCTTGGGATCCTTTATGTCTTTTAATTAAGATTCTTGTTCATTATTTTTTTTCATGTGTTGATTTTACTGTGAGTTCAATGTATTAAATTACTTGATCACTAATTTGATGATTTTGTGAATCTTTTACGATTCAAGAGGTGAGTTTAGAATTTAGACCATATAGTAAAATTCAATAAATTGGTATAGCGTGTAGAGATACTTATACTAATTATTACGATTATAAATGAATTTCTAGAATAAAGAATTCGTTTAACTAAGCTCAATTTGCATGGAGATATGGAATTAAATTAGTTAAGTAGGCTCAATAAGAACTCGAGAGTGGTAAATTGAATAAAATAGAAGAATTCAACCAAACACCATATTATGCCCCTGTTTGATTACCATTAAATTAAATTACATTACATTCCATTTTTCTCTCTCCTATTTTCAACCATACAATCTTTTATAAAATAATATTACACATAAATCGAAAACTTTATCTTCTTTTTCAACCACTCATTTTTCTAAAAAATATTATTCCCCCCATTACCATTTTCAGGTAATGGGGGCCAAACAGGGGCTATATATGAATCTTGATTTATGATGTAAAGATGATCAATAGGTGGGATTATTATACTGTAATATTTGTTTATTATTTAAGCTCTAAACCAATTTTGTGCGCATCCACATATTGTTACGCATTTAAATTAGATTTCAAAATATATAAATCTTTATTAGCTTTTGCGAATAGTAGTTCGAAAGAAAGTAGATTAAGCTATAAAGTATAGTCCCCGTGAGAATGACAATCCGAACTCATAGGTCCTCTTAATACTTGTTCGATATCGCAAAGTTGCGATAGTAAAAACGCAACAGAGATTGTATTGCATATTTTTGAAATTTTGGGATTTCTGTTGCAAAATTTCCTTTTTAAAATTAAAGGTCAAATGACCAATTTACCCCCATTTAAAAGAAAATAAAAAATGATCAAATAATGGTCAAACGCTATACTTTTGATCAATTAGATGAAACTGTCCAATGTCCCATCATATTTGTGAAAGGTTTGTCACGTATCTATTATTATTTAAAGGTGATTCTTTATTTAAAGGTTCAGAATCACGCTACACTTATTTAAAAAGTTCAGAAACTCCAATTCAAAATTTCCTTTTAATCATTAGTGAATTTTTTACTCGTCGCACTTTCAAAGTTTAGAATATTAATCCCCTATTTGATGGAGATTGAAATTAGTAGATTTTTAAAAAGTTAATGAAATACATGGTTCAAAATTTATAAATATTATGAATTGTGTGTTTGAAATTAATTGTTGACTTTGACTTAAATTAAATTTTTTATTTAGATTTCCACCAAATAGAGATTAGATTGGACGAAAACTATTTAGATGTATTTCATGGCACAATTTTGACAAATTGGGACCGAATCTAATGATCTATTATGATTAAATTTACAAGTGTGTTGTAATTTGTTAAAGGCTTGGGACCTCTCTTCAAATTCCTCTTTTAATTAAGTACTAGTGAGCAAGAACAGATTCAAGATTGAATCCAAGACCAGATTACAAAATTTCAAACAGGGCAACTACTTGGAAAAAAAATTTTACACATAAAAAACGGATTTTTTACCAACAAAAAAAATAAAAATACCTTAAAAAAATGTTCTTGGACCAGAGTGGGGAGGGGACTACAGCCCAACCCCTCCCCCAATCCGTATCTGTTAGTGAGTGAACGTGCATTGCACGTTAATTGGTTAATATTTAAAAAAGTATGTGTAAAATTTAAAAAAATTCATTTATAAATTTGAAAGGTATCCATAAATTCATTGAAATTGACTTATTTTTCGTCAATTTTTTCTATAAATTTTTTATTTTTCATATGAACATTTGAGAATTTACATATATTTGTACAAGACATTTTCCTGTACAAAAGTTTGTGGGAAAAATTTTTTATGCTAAATATATTTCTCTCTCTATATATATATATATTGGTTCAGCCTAAAATATGATTTGGCCTACTCAAATTTTGCCTCTAATCCATACTATGATTATAATAATTAAATATCACCAAAATATACAACATCTACACAATTACATTGAAAATGGTTTTTCATGTTGACAGCTATCATGTAGAATCATAAATTATAACTTAAAATTGTAAATGCAATTTCATGTATCAACCTTCTTCCAAGGACGTGATTTTGTTGTCATTGGAGCTTAACTGTAAAATTGCAAAAACGTAATTAGAAAATTATAAAATAAAGTAGAATTGGCATAACCATAAAAGGAAAAAACCTCTTCAAACTTTTCAAAGTTTAATTAAACAGAATTTTAAATCGAACAAAAAATTATTTATAATATGAAAAAAATTAAAATAATTTTCAAAAAATATAATAAAAACAAAACAAATTAAACAAAAGAATGTTACGAAAATTAAATAATGAATATATAAATATTATTTAATTAAAATTGAAAAAATTAAGTTTCATCATAAAAAGAAACGAATTATTTTCATTCTTGTCCTAGGTCTACATTTTTACACTACTCTCATTTCTTTCTTACTTATAAATTTGTACTCGAACTTGAATCTTTGAGATATCTATTTTTACTCTTTCTTTTTCCTGTTTTATATTTAAATATTAAATAAGAGAAAAAAGAAAAGAAAAGAATAGATCAAAATGAATTAAAAAAAAAAGAAAAAGAAAAAAAGGGAAGAGCTTGCAGCAAATTCTTCTTCAGTGAAGTGACTAACATTTATACTTCAATCTGCAGCACTTGCACGTGATCCGACTGAATATCCTCGAATACGGGTGACCTTTGTACAGTCAACATACCACCAGTCACGTGCTTAACCGCCCTTGTTTGATCTCATAAATACATTTTTCAACGGTAATTTGATATCATTTCAAACATATATTTTTAATAAAATAATATTATAAGTAAATTTAATTTTTTTTTTATTTTTAACCACACATTCTCTATCGTAATACTATTTAAAATGAATTTTTTTGAGAAAAATGAGGCTCACACAACCTTTAAAAATCCCAAAAGCCGACATGACAGACACCTTTCACTTGCCTCTTCGCTGCCTATTGAATAGCTCAAGAAACTAGAAAAAAGTCTAGAGCATCGTTTGATTTCTATTTTTTCATAGTATACGTAAATAAAATAAATTTATTATTTTTTATTCATACATTCTCCATCCATCTATTATTTTAAAATTATTATTATTATTATTATTATTTTTATAAAAATGGACGTCAAAAGTGAAAAGAAGTCGGCATCAGTATTCAGTATAAATTCTTAAGCCTCTCCAACTCTCCCTTTCAATTTATTCGTTTATTTGTTGTATCTATAAATCTCCGCTTGGATACTGGTAATCTTCAGTAGGTTTGGAGTATGAAGATTCAGTGCAGCGTGTGTGAGGTAGCGGAGGCGAATGTTCTGTGTTGTGCCGACGAGGCGGCGCTATGCTTGGCGTGTGATCAGAAGGTGCATGCTGCAAATAAGCTGGCAACCAAGCACCAGCGAGTTCCTCTCTCTAGCTCGTCTTCTCAGATGCCCAAGTGTGACATCTGTCAGGTTTATTTTATTTTTTTGTATGTGTTTTTTAAGTTAATTCGGGATTAATTTTGAGTGTTTTTCGTTTTGTAATTTTTCAGTTAATTTCATAGAATACTGAGATGACTCGAAGTGGATAACGATAAGCCCCTGTTTGGCTCTCCATTATTTGAATTTATAATGGGAGAATAGTAAAATTATTTTTAAGATTGTGTGGTTGAAAAGTTTTCGATTTGAGTGTAATATGATTTTATTGAAGATTGTGTGATTGAAAATAGAATAGAGAAAAAATTAAATTAAATTGGAGAATTTTAAAGAGCGCCAAACGGAGCTAAATATCTTTGGAGTGTGGATATTTTAATTAATTACTACGGTATTTTCGACCATTATTTTGTGGTTATAACTTATGACACTGATGTAATAATCTGATTTCAGGTACTTGCTGAGATATGTTGATCTTTCTTTTCTTTGGGTTCACTTTCTCCCAATATAAAGAATAGAGAAAAAGGAAAAAGGAAAGAAATAAAAAAGGCAGTTTCTTTTTCTTGCAATCTGACCTATTGGTTCTAATACTGCCAGTTCTCTTTCTTGTTTTTGATTTTTATCATCTTTTAGCTTTCTAGAATAATACAGAATCCTCTTCAATTTTTACTCGTCATAGTGGTTGAATATTGCACTTCCCATGTTATCTGATTTGATATCTAACTACAACGCACATAAGAAAGAATTGCATACCCTTTGAAAAGTCAAGATCACACGATATAAGAGTCAAAAAACAAGAATAACTCGACCAAACAGAAGGTAAATTGCAGAAAATTAAAGTTGAACACCAACGAATTATTTCGGTCTAAGTCCCGGAGATTCGGTGACCGCTTCTAACACCTACATCTCCCGTTGAGCATCCAAGAAAAAGATTATGTTTGGTTGCACTAAAAATAGCCCAAAATGGCAACAAAATTACAAATGTTAAGAGAGATGAAGAACAAGAATTTATTTCTCAAAATACAGTGACAGCCCTCAAAGATCTACTCAGAAATCTTCAAAAAATCCCTTACAGGAGCAAAACCAACAACAATGGAATCACATAGATTCCCGTGTGATGTGTGCTAAGGTTCAACAGAGTTAGTTGATTTTCTTTTCCATGTGAGATCTTTCTTGGAGGATGCTAAAGGTGCGGGGTTGGGAAGCTCGATCCTAACGGATGTATGATAAGGTTTAATAGACCTACTTAAGAGCTTGTTTGATAATGATTATAAGAATTAATTTTTTGACTGTTAGAGATAAAAGTGGGTTCCACCTGTGGTGAGTGAAGATGTAAAAAATAACGACTATAATAATGAAATAATGATTAAAAAATTGATTTTTTGGGTGAAAAATTACTATCAAACGGGGGGCTAAATGTCTTTTCTTATAGATCTTTCTTAAGAGGATGATCTTTAAACAACATCCGTATTTATATTGATCAATAATAAAAAGGCTTTGACCTCTACTCTATAGTGGCTTGGAAGTGACTTCGAATCATAGAATCATTTATTATATGATCTAGATTCCACTTAAAAGGTTGATTTTGTTAGGTTTTAGCTGTATTAAGGCCTCATTTGGGAGTAATTTTGAAAATTGATTTTGTGACTGTTAGGAGAAAAGTGAGGACTACATGTGAGATAAGAAATCAAACTTTACGATTGAAATAATGAAATAACTGTTAAAAAATCAATTTTTTTGGAGTGGCAAATCACTCCCAAACAAGCTCTAAAACGCTTTAAACAGGACGCACTCCAGTTTGGGTTTCCACATACCATATCTGCAAGATTTTTTTTTTTTTTTTGTTTGTTCCTACATCTGTGTTCTTCATGCTTGGAAATTTTATTAGTTGGGTGGGGGGTCACTTGATTTATTTCTCATTACTATACGTCAAATGTCTTTGCTCCCTTCTACGATATTTGTTCATGAACTATGTATGACTTCATTTTCGTGTAGATGGCCGAGAAGATTTTGAAAAGTTCCAGTTGCAAAGTTCTTGGCATTGACTGAAGAATTACTACATTGTGCAGGAAACGGTCGGGTATTTCTTTTGCCTGGAGGACCGAGCTTTACTTTGTCGGAAATGTGATTTTTCCATACACTCGGTGAATTCTTTGGTGTCAGCTCATCAGAGGTTTTTGCTCACTGGAGTAAAAGTAGGTCTTAAATCCATGGAATCTGGTTCATCAACATCCTCGATGAAGTCACACTCCAATGAGAAAATTTCAGAACTTGAACCAAACTTTCTTGCTAGGCGAAGTACCCCGTTGTCACCAACTGGTCAACATAATAAAGGTTTACCATCCCAAGTTAGAGAAGGTGGGGATTTTGCATCATCAAGGGTGACTCTTGAGGGAGTCACTACATCTGGAAGTATGTCCATGTGGCACTTAGACGATTTTCTTGGTCTTACTGATTTCAATCAGAGTTACAATTTCATGGATGGTGGCTCATCTAAGGTATAATTTTGATTGGTGCATTGATAAATGTAATTCTATCTGTTATATGATAGTTATCCCTCTAGTCTTTGATGATGTTTCCCATAGTGCAGCATGAGAAATGTAGAGTGGAGATTTGAACAATTATTGTTATCGTCATTGCTATTCAGACAATAATGAGGTTTCCTAAAATGAGCTCCCACGTCATAAACCAGCTACTGCCTCATTAGCCGTTCATTTGCCTCCAAGTTTCATTCTATAATTCTATGATTAATCATTGAGTGTTAAATGGTAGTGAACAGAAGGGTGAATGTGGTATAATTGTTTTAGAGCTTCCTGAGTTTGGTTGAAAAGTTATAACAATCGGAAGGAAAGAACATGGGAAGTTATTGTTGTGGCTGATAAACAGCGGTAATCAAGATTATCTAGATTTTGGAAGCTCCTCTTGTTTGACTGATTTAATGGCGTGCTTTAATGTTAACAATGATATTTACTAGTTATGGTTTGAAGCAGTTTTGATTGTAGGAATGTGAATATATTGGTTTATGGATTGAAGTGCTCTTATATCCTGATGCTGTTAGTATCTCGAGTGTGTGTGTGGTGCCAGTGCACTCCCTTATTTTTGGCTTTACTTTGATTTAACTCTATCAGGCTGATAGTGGAAAGCTTGGAGATTCAGATTGCTCCCTCATTCTACGAACTGCTGATGAAGAACTAGAGGGTGATGAGTGTCTAGGTCAGGTACCAGATACGTTTTGGGCAGTACCCCATATTCCTTCACCGCCAACGGCATCAGAGCTTTATTGGCGAAAGAATAACCAGAAGCATTATGACCCTGCAGTCTTTGTCCCCGACATAGGCTCCCCATCCTCGCAGAATTTCCATCATCGCCAACCAGATGGTACTAGTTCAAAGTGGAGAAGACAATTCTGATTTGTTATCTGATCTTTGTTGCTATTAAGATAGCTGCACAAGGTGTTCTAAATCAGCTTTACAAGGGTCATCTAAAAGGTGTGTTGCCTTTCTAGAGATAAAATCGTTGAAGCAGTTACGAGTTAGGAATATTGCTTCCCTTTCTGCAAGTAGGTTATATTTCTGTACTAGTGTTCCACAGCCAATCAGTTTAGGCGTCTGCTACATTGTATCACGTGAAGGAAATAAGAACCAAGAGATTTCTTATAATTATGACACATGTAAAGACACTTTTTGAGATATGCTTTTTGAGATAAGCTGAGTATCCTATCGTTTATTACGGACCAACAGAAGGGATTAGATAATCAATATTCTCTATTTCATCAATTCTGGAAGGGTCAAATCCATGAGGGTTGGTCTCCTCGATATTTCTCAAAAGCAAGCATTTGAGATGGATGGTGAACATGATGTCTCAGTGAAAGGTTACATAACATCAAATGGCGAAAGTGATATCTCATTGAGACACTTCGTAAAAGACTCAACCTTGTGAGGGTGTACATAAGAAAAGTTATGCAAGGAATTCTAATGAGAAATTGGCAGTCAATTGTGTAGAAATTTCTTACAGTGTTGAACCGTGATAATAATCGTTACAAGATTCTTGTAGTATATACAGAGCGTGAGCGAGGTTGGAAAAGGATTTTTGGCTGCAGGTTGGCCCGTCCAATGCTCGAAGTTCCAATCGCTATATAGACATTGTATTGTTCCGCTGACTTCGACGATCAAGTTATTGTGGGAATTGTTATATTAATTGCTGTACCATTATATATTTTACTTAATTTTCCTCTTAGAACGGATGATTGGTCGATAGGAGTCAGAATTACAACATAAATACTAGCCAACTTGGGAGTCGATGTCTGAAGTAACAACTTAACAAATGAAGTTACGACCTTAAAGATACAAACTCAGCAGCCCCTCATGCCAATGGAGATTGTTGTCCATAAAGTTTGCTAATCAAGGCCTCAAATTTTGGCAGTGCCTAAGGCTGTAGTTTGTATGTCGACTATTTGTAGACGACCCCACTTTACACCTCTAATTTTCACATTAACACTTCCAATAAAACCATTTTTTCCAGGAATCTGATCAAAAGGAAATCCAAGGCATGTCTTTGTAATCATGTATTATTTTATTTGTACTGAAATATTCTCACAGAATTTTACCAGAAGAGACTCATGTGTGTTGGGGGGGGGGGGGGGGGGG